TACCAAACAACCCCAACCCAACTGGAAGACACGAATTTCGGGTTGGGGGGGTGGTACGGGCTACATGTGTGTTTTTTCCATGTTCCCGGACCCCCCCCCCACACTGGGGTGGTTTGGTTGGCGGTGAAATCAGCATCGAACAGAAAAACCGGGTCGCATCGGAGTGCAAGTCGGACCCAGGATAAGGCCCCAAGACTGGCAAAGAGGGCCGCTAGAGGCCCCCAAGACGATCCAAGAATACCCCGAAGACGGCCCAAGGTGCTCCCAACACGCCCCAAGAGGCCTCCAAGAGACCTCCCAAGAGGGCCTCAAGAGGCACACATATTTGATGTTTGATTCGGCAGGTTTTGGCGTTCTCGCCAGTTCGGCTTCCTGACGCTACAAGACGGCCCCAAAGGCCCCCAAGATCGATCCCAAATGGCCCAAGAGGCCCCCAGAAGGGCCCCAAGACGGCCCAAGAAGTCCCCAAGACGTCCCAGGATGCCCCCAAGACGACCCAAAAGAGCCCTAAGACGGCCCAAAGTGGGGCCCCAGAGGGGGAGCCCGAACCGACAATTCAAGCTTTACGCCCCAAGATGCCCCAAGGAGGTGCGAAGGAGCCCCCAAGAGGCTCTCAAGACGCCCCGAGAGGCCCCAAAACGGCCCCAAGAGGCTTCAACACTGCCTCAAGGAGGCTCCCGAGAGGCCTCACACGACATCTAAACGAATACCAACCAACCGATGACCCCCAATCCGATACACGGTGGCGGGATGGGCCGAAGGCCATTAGACACTCGTACCCCGCTCTTTCCGTTACCTTGCCCGGCACAGAAACGGAAAGAGCGCGTCAGAAAGAGAAACCGAAATTACTCACACCACCGTTTGTACTGGGAGCCTTGACGTTGAGAGCTTGTTACGTCACCCCTCGCTCTTGGGAGCCTTGGTGTTCAGAGATTGTTGCGTTGCCGCCCGTTCCTGAGCCTTGGCTGGGCCTTGGTGTCAGGAACTTGTTACGTCACCGCTCTCTGCTGAGAGCCTCGGTCTTATCAGCTTGTTTACGTCACCGTTCGCTCTTGGGAGCCTTGGTGAGAAGAGCTTTTTGCGTTACCGATCGCTCTTTATTTGGCGTCTCCGGGCCTTCTTGGGAGTCCTATTGGGGCCCATTTCGGGCCCTTTTGGAGGCCTCTTGGGACGCCTCTTGGGGGCCTCTTGGGGCTTCTTGGGGGGCTCTGGGGGCCTCCTGGGAGCTTCTTGGGGCGAAAGGCTAGACTTGTCGGTTCGTGGTCCCCCTCTTGGGGCCGTCTTGGGGCCCTCTTGGGCCGTCTTGGGCGCCCCCTGGGCCGTCTTGGCGCCCTCTTGGCAGTTTTTGGGCCCTCTTGGGGGCCTCTTGGGCCGTCTTGGGGCGGTCTTGGGGGCCTCTTGGAGCGTCTTCAACGCAGTGGAAGCCGAAGAGCCGTGTATGCTAAAAATGTACCTTTCCCAGTAGGAAGTCCATGTTTTTGGCCTCTTGGGGCGCCTCTTGGGGGCCTCTTGGGGCTTCTTGGGGGGCTCTGGGCGCCTCCTGGGAGCATCTTGGGGCGAAAGGCTAGACTTTTCGGTTCGTGGTCCCCCTCTTGGGGCCGTCTTGGGGCCCTCTTGGGCCGTCTCGGGCGCCTCTTGGGCCGTCTTGGGGCCTTCTTGGGTCGTTTTGGGGGCCTCTTGGGAGCCTCTTGGGCCGTCGTGCGGCGGTCTTGGGGGCCTCTGGGGCCGTCGTCAACGCCGTGAAAGCCGAAAAGCCGTATATGCAAAACATGTACGCTTCCCTATGGAAAATCTATGATGTTGGCCTCTTGGGGCCTCTTGGGGGCCTCTTGGGCCGCCTTGGGCGGTCTTGGGCTCTCTTGGAGCGCTCTTGGGCCGTCTTGGGGGGGAATGCGAAAAACATTCAAAAACCCTAGGGAAAACCCGAAAACGGCCATTAGAGCCCATTCCCCTCCCCCCCTTGAACCCCCCTTAAGAGCTTCGCCCAAACACACAACGTCATCACTCGTACCTCGCTCTTTCCGTTACCTGGCCCGGCACAGAAACGGAAAGAACGCTTCAAGAAAATGGCCCGAAATCGTTCATGGCAGCGTTCGCTCTTGAAGCCCTGGTGTGAAGAACTGGTTGCGATACCTCTTGCTCTTGGGAGCCGCGGTTTGGACAAATTTCAGGACGCCGTCCGATCTTGAGATCGCAGGTGGGACATCGTTGTACCAGTGACACCAGCGCTAGTTGCCAGACCTGGCGCATGGAGTACGCATCAGGAAAAGACGCGGCTCAGGGTACAAGAGTTCCTGGCGAGAGTGGCCGACAGCTGCTCACCCTGACCGCGGATGCAACATGCTGTTAGTCTACGTGTGGCGCTAACACCAGAAGGTCAGGTGCCAGGTTCAACTCGAGGGGCTCTTGGGGCCTCCAAGGGGCTTATTGGGGCGAAAGGCTAGGCTTTTTCGATTCGTGGTCCCCCTCTTGGGGCAGTCGTTGGGCCCTCTTGGGCCGTCTTGGGCGCCTCTGGGGCCGTCTTGGGACCCTCTTGGGTCGTTTTTGGGGCCTCCCAGGAGCCTCTTGGGCCGTCTTGGGGCGGTCTTGGGGGCCTCTTGGGCCGTCGTCAACGCCGTGAAAGCCGACAAGCCGTATATGCTAAAAATGCACGTTTTCCGAAAGGAATTCCATGATGTTGGCCTCTGGGGGCCCTCCTGGGACGCCTCTTGGGGGCCTCTTGGGGCTTCTTGGGGGGCTCTGGGGGCCTCCTGGAAGTTTTTGGGGCGAAAGGCTAGACTTTTCAATTCGTGGTCCCCCTCTTGGGGCCGTCTTGGAGCCCTCTTGGGCCGACTCGGGCGCCTCTTGGGCCGTCTTGGGGCCCTCTTGGGCCTTTTGGGGGGCCTCCTGGGAGCCTCTTGGGCCGTCTTGGGGCGATCTTGGGGGCCTCCATTGGAACGCCTTCAACGCCGTGAAAGCCGAAAAGCCGCATATGCTAAAAATATACGCTTTTCAAAAGAGAATCAATGAGTTTGGCCTCTTGGGGGCCTCTTGGGGCGCCTCCTGGGCGCCTCTCGGGGCGTCTCGGAAGCCTCATGGGAAGTCTTTGGGCCGTCTTGGGCATGTTGGACCGTCTTGGAGCCGTCTTGGACCCCTCTTGGACCGTCTTGAGCGCCCAAGACGGCCCAAGAAGCGCCCAAGAGGCCTCCAAGACGCCCCGAGCGGCCAGCAGGTCCCATCCCTCCGCCCCTCCCCCCCAACTGCACTCCCCCTAGAGGGCTTCGCCCGAACACAACGTCATCACTCGTACCTCGCTCTTTCCGTGACCTGGGACCTGCACGAAAACGGAAAGAGCGCTTCAGCAACCTGCCCGAGATGCCTCATGGCACCCTTCGTTCTTGGGAGCGTTGGTGGTAAGCGCTGGTTGCGTCAAACCGCTCGTTTTTGGGAGCCTTGCTGGCAAGCGCGTGTTAAGTCACCGCTCTTTGTTGGGAGCCTTGCTGGGAAGAGCGTGTTGCGTCACCGCTCTCTGTTCAGAGGCCTCGTGCCCAGAGATGCTTACGTTGCCGCTCGCTCTAGGGAGCCTTGGTGGTAAGAGCTTGTTGCGTCACCGCTCGCTTTTGGGAGCCTTGCTGGTATGCGCGTGCTACGCCACCGCTCTCAATTGGGAACCTTGATCCTCCTCCTCATCGGCCTCATCCTTCTCCTCAGATTCCTCCTCCTCCTCCTTCTCCTCCTCCTCCTCCACCTTCCTCCTCCTCCTCCTCGTCCTCCTCCTCCTCCTCCTCCTCATCCTCCTCCTCCTCATCCCCCCTCCCTCCTCC